GTATTGCATTAGGCAAATCACTGCACAAGACCTCTGTAAAGTGTTGAAGAGCCAAGATGTCAGTTTGAGGACTAAGACATGCCTGACCCAATCCATGTATTTTCTATAACTTCATATGCATGTGAAAGTTGGACAGTGAATACGGAAGACCACAGAAGAATTGATGCATGTGTCATGGTGTTGGCGGAGAATATTGAAAGTACCACGGACTGCCAAAAGAACAAACCAATCTGTGTTAGAAGATGTGTAACTAGAATGCTCCCTGGAAGCCAGGATGGCCAGACTTCATCTTTCTTATTTCTGACATATTATTAGAAGGGTCCAGACCCTAGAGAAGGATTTCATGTTTGGTAAAGTGGATGGTCTGTGAAACAGAGGAAGGCCCCAAATCAGATGGCTTGGCACAGTGACGGCAACAATGGTGTCAAACGTAGCCACGATTTTAAGGTTGGTGCAGAACCGAACCAGGCAGTGTTTTATTCTTTAGTGCATAGGGTCGCTTTGAGTTGGTACTGATTCTGTGGCACCTAAAACAGCAAGTAGATTAGAAAAAGAACTACAGAATAAAATCAAAGGGAGTAAAAGTCAGGGGAAAATACAGCCAGACCGAAAACAATGAAATAAAAGACGGGTAACAATGTCAATGCCAAAAAGTTGGTGTTTTGAAGAAAACGAATAAATGAACTTGTCAAGACTGGATAAAACAGAGCAAACACAAAGAAACAGTATTAGGTACAAACAAGGGGACATAACTTCAGATACAGTTAAGATTACAAGCATTAGGTTAAGTCTACAAATAGCTTTAACTCAATACACTGAAACCATCAGTAAAATGAGCACAGGTAAAGAATCTTTTCCCATGATATCAAGGATCAGTACACAGGTTGATAGAGATGGGCAACTTAGACATTGGATATCAAAAATGAGGGGGGGTATGAGGGCAAGATGCCTGACTTATAAGTTCTCATGAGTGGTGTTTCAGAATGAGGGGGGTAATGTAGACTCCCCACTGGATAGTTTTCTTGTTTTCAAGATAAAGCTGGTGAAAGGAGATGGCTAAGGATTCTGGTAGGATTTTATGATTCAGGTGTGCGTAGTTGTTAATCAGGATTCATTGCAATTGTCGCAACTGTAGTTGTAGAAGATGTGTAACTAGAAAGGGGGAGTAGTACTCTTTCATTTCAGGAACAGAGGACCCTAGGACATTAAGAAGAAAGAGCATGAGTGGCACATGGGATCCTAACCCAAAAAGCAGCGACAGGAGACAGTGGCTGAGGCAATGGCATAGACAGCAGCTGAGGACTCTAGGCCCGTGGACTGAGAAAGGGTGTGTGCCCACAGGCAGGATGTGGGCTTGTAAAATGTGCCCTTTGGACATTTAAATTAATATATATTTTTTGTTTATTATATGGACATTAAAAAAAAAAAAGGGAATAGAGGTCAACACTGTTCCCTGAGGGTACATAGAAGAGATTGTAATCACTGCAGTGAGACAAAACATGATTGTTTGAATGTCAAACTGATCATCTACCCTTCACTCAATTCAGCGAAAATTTAAAACTTTTTTTTTCTCAGAGAATTATAACTCACTCAAGAATTGTTGTTTAGTACCATGGAGTCAGTTCTGACACATAGTGACCCTGTACTGGGTTTCCAAGGCTGTAAATCTTTATGGGAACAGAACGCCTCATCTTTCCCCTGCAGAATCGCTGGTAGTTTTGAACTGCTGATCTTGAGGTTGGCAGCCCAACTCGTATCCACTACGCTCCTTACACTCAAGAATAGAAACTCTCAATAATGTATTAACACTCTAATATTGAGTTAAAAACCTATTTATCTCTCCACCTCCAAGCCAAAAGATTCCAGGCACACTTTTGATGTTATATCAAGTTTTACGGGTAGTTTTAGAAATGCAAGATGCCATTATACACCAATTCTTCTAGGCAAATAGAAAGGACACTGTGCCACTCATTTCATGAGACCAGAACCCGACAGGGGCAGGAAAGGGAGTGTAGGTCCTGGCTCCCCACTCCATGCTAGAATCCCTGAAATTTCACAAAACAAAACCCACCAATCAATCAAAAAACACATGGTGTGAGCATTTTATCCCAGGAATGCACAGACTGTGCTTACGTGCGAAAAGGACTGAGGTATTACACCACGTTCACAGATGAAAGCAGAAAAGCCACGTGGCCACCACAGATTGTCCTTGTGCCTTTTGGTCCATCTACAAAATGAGCTGGGCTGCGTAGAACAGCCCTAGGGAAATGGTCTGGGGGGCACAGTTGGTGACAAGACTGTCACAGTCTGGAACCTATTTCTACCAGGCACTGTCCGGTAACTAGTCACATGGCCCAGGCACTGGGGAAAAAGGCTTCTACAACATTTAACTCATTCCGGGAGATCCACTCATACAGGGTGGGTCCCAATAGTAAGCTGGGCGAACAGGGGTGGAATCCAGATTCAGCATTTGTTCCAATATTCTTTGCCAATACCGTAATTCAAAGACATCAATTTTTCTTTGGTCTTCCTTATTCTTTATCCAGTTTTTATATTCCGTATCACTCTGCCAAAAAAATTAAAATACATGATTCTAGAAAAATATAGAATACTAAATTTCATGCAAGGAAGGATATGTTCAAAGGGAAGTAGTAAGCAGAATATAAAGATCTTCCCCCTCCATCTTAGCAGCATCCTACAGACACTAAATGGCTTATAAGAGAAATAGATTAAAAGGGTTTGGGTTTTTTTAAGCTGGGACGACATGAATACGTAGCTCATAGACTCATTGAAAGAGCTGGAGAAAACTTAGGGCTAAGTTGACAATGCCAAAAATAAGCTCACACTGACACACATGATAAAATGATGAACATTCAGAGTAACTAGAGGAACATTTATAGCCATCAAGTACATTATAAAACAAGACTGAAATTAACTTATGCATACAACTAAAGCAGCTAGCAAATAAACAAATACACTCAAAGAAACAAAAGGAAATGATCAGTAAGGTAGACAGATCTCTTACTAAGCTATTTAAAGAAATGAGATACTTCAAATACTCGTATATTTGTTAGTTGTATCTGTCACCACCTCTTATACATACCCTGATATCAGAGCCTACGGCAGGAGAGACATGTTATATGGATCAAGTGTGGCCACTCCTGCCTCCACCACGCCTGGCCAACACAAGTGCTTAGCAAAGGGCAAGAGACCTGAGCAGATGACTGGTCATCCCTGAAATACAAGGATTCTGGAGAAATCTACACAGTGTGTGTGGAGACTAGTGCTTCCTGTAGACATCCCCTGCAGGAGAAAATGGAATGGATCATCAGAGAACCTGAGACAATCCGAGAAACATGAGGAGCGTCCTGATGAAAGGATTCTAGCCCTGGGTCTACTCCGTCCAAGGTTCTACCCTCAGACTTCAGGCCCATGAACTGTTTGCTTCTGCTAATACAAGTTGGGTTGTGTCACTTACAAGAATTTCCAAGTAACTTCAACACTGTTGTTCATTGCCATCAAGTTGGTTCTGACCCACAGTGAAACCATGATCAGAATGAAACACTGCCTGCGTCTATGCCAGTCTCAGAGCTGTAGCTGTCTGAGCTTACCGTTGCAGCTACTGTGTCAATGCACCTTGTTGAGGGGCTTCCTCTATCCTGGACCCTCTGCTTTACCAAGCATGGTGTCTATCCCCAGGGACTGGTCCCTCCTGACATGTCCAAAGGACATGAGACAAAGTTTCACCACCCTCCTTTCTAAAGAGCACTCTGGCTGAACTTCTCGCAAGCCAGATTTGTTCATTTTTCTGGCAGTCCACGGTATATTCAATATTCTTTGCCAATACCATAATTCAAGGAACTCTGGTAGTGTAGTGATTATGAATCGGGCTCCTAATCTCCGGTCAGCAGTTTGAAACTACCAGCTGTTCCGCGGGAGAAAGATGAGACTTTCTGCTCCCGTGAAGATTTACAGCCTCGGAAACCCTGTACAGGGTAGCTATGAGTCGGAACTGACTCCACGGTACATAAGGATATCATAATTCAAATGCATCAACTCTTCTTCAGTCTTCCTTATTCACTGTCTAGCTTTCACACTACATATTTTTGCCCCCAAATTAAAATCTACACAAAGCACATGATTCTAGAAAAATAAAAATTACCAAATTTGACTCTAAGAAGGATAGAAAAGCTGAGTAGGTAAGATGTCATCAAAGAAATGAAAAAAGTAGAAAAGGTATCCCTTAAAAAAGGCACGAAACAGAAGTTTTATAAAGACGTTCTACCAAATTTTCAGGAAACAAAAAATTTCTGTTATAAACAAAGTCTGTAGAAAAAGATTGTTTCCAAACTTATTCTACGAGGCTAGCAAAATGCTGACACCAAAAGAGGGAAAGGAAATCATTTACACGAAATTTAACAGTAATTAGCTCAACAGGCATAAAAATCCTGGGGGCACACGATCCACAGCTAACTGAAAGGCTGGGAGCTTGACCGTACCCAGAGGCACCTCAGAAGAAAGGCCTGGTAATCCACTTTTGGAAAATCAGCCACTAAAACCCTGTGGAGCACAGTTCTACTCGGAAGCTTCAGGGCATCCCCATGAGTTGGAGTTGACACCACGGCCACTTTTGTGTTTGCTTGGAAGTGAGGTTTATATCAGACTACAAGAATGGTTCTGCATTAGGTAATCTACTCATGTAATTCACTATAGCAACGAAACAAAGCTTCGGGTGATCTCAATAGATGTCACAATCCAATCCTGCTGATTACAGGGGAAAAAAACCCCAACTCTTTAGTAAGGTAGGAACAGAAGCAAACTTCTTTAGTCTGACGGAGGTTATCTACCAGACACTTAAGCGAAAACTGCATTTCATGATGGAACATGAAAACCATTTTTAAAGAGTCGACAGTCCAAGATGCCTCATGACATTCTACTGGGCTTCAAAGTCACAAGAACAGGAATGAGTATAGAGTCTCTTCAGAGAGGGGCCTGGCTGTGTCCCCATCCAGTGGGGGATGAGTGCAAGGCACCCTGGGAATGTCCAAGCCCAGGGGAGCCAGGAACTAGTCTCTGAGTAAGCAGTGTGGAAAGCCTGGGGTCTCAGGCTGCCTCTTCCTCTTCACTCTCCTCCTCACTCTCGTGATACTGTCTGCGGTTGGTGTTAACAAAGAGATCAGAATCATCTTCAGAGCTGGATTCATCTCCTGAAGACTGGGGCTCGGTTGGGAGTTCAGGCTGAGTCTGTCTGCATGGGGAAGAGGGTACGTTAGCCTAATGCCGCCTGGGAAAACTAGCTCTGTCACCAAAGGCCCCATAGACACTCCCTTAAAGATTAAAAGGGGAGAGAGAGTCAAAGTAGTTGGAAAACTTGGCCAAGGAAACAGGCAAAAGAATGCCCCATCCCTAATCCTAGCCCCAAAGTCTGCTAGAGCCTCTGGTTTTAGTTAATAATAATAAAGATTCTACCACCACCAAGTAACGCTCATTAGGCCCACATTACATCCCTACCAGGTACTTTTATAAAGCTCCCATTTTATTGATAAGATAACTGAAACTTGAGAGATTAATGGCAAAACCAAGATTTGAGCCTGGCCAATCTCTCAAGCTGCTCCTTGGAAACCCCATACAGGGTTGCTATGGGTCAGAATAGACTCTACGGCACTTAACAACAACAACACTCTCTCAAGCCATCCTCAGGCCACATGTTTCATCATATATGAAGGAGCTTTTACCAGGAACCAAGGAAGCGCGACACCACGGCTTAGACCTCTATTTCCTGTCTTCCCCAGTTCCTCACCTGTTCCTGATGCTGTGTTTCTCAGCCACTTCAGAGAAGGCTTCAGGCCTGAACCAGAAGAAAAGGTAAGGTCAGAAGGGACAGGTAAGTTTCTCTGCAAAAGAGCTGCTTCCAGCTGTCCCTGCCTGGAATGCCAGGACCTTCCCTCACCGAGTTCCAAGGCTAGAAAGTCCATGCCCCCCAGAAGCCAGGGCGTAAAGGATCGAAGGGAAGACCCTACCAGAGCCCCTCCTTCTGCAGAGAGCGCACATGGTCCTTGCAGAGCACAAAGGAGATCTCAGCCTTCACCTTCTCTCCCTCCTCGATGGGGTCAACAATGAGAAAGTCCCCTATAAGGAGAAGGGAGGAAAGGCTAGATCAATCCTGGCACATGGGAGATCAAGGCTACAGGAAATGGTCCTATTGCCCAGGGGACCACCTCTCTCACCTCTCTTAATCCAGATGTTCTTGCGATACTTGGAGGGCATGCTCACCAAGAAGCGCTGCCCCTGGGCTGTCTCCACCTCATGCAGGTTGTTTCCTGGGGTCTTAAGTACCTGGTCCAGGAGCAAGCGAGAATGAGTACGTCTTTTCATCAAATCAAACACATCTGAACAGCACACACTCTACCCCTTAGAGCCCAACAGGGGTAAGGGGTAGAGGGCTGTGCAAATTGGTGCCCCATGCCACTCACCCTCACAATCTGCTGCTGGTCGGAGGGCACCATGTGTTCTCCCAGCACCTCCTTTACCACATGCTTCCTCTTGGTGGCCTGAGACATGTTGGGGCCCGTCCTGGGGTATGAGGGACACAAAGACTGCCAATTCTTCCTCTTGAGTGCCTTGACGGGCAGGCAGAGTCCAGGGCTGTTTTGAAGATGGAAAGGGGCCTTTGATTGAGAAGTGACAGTATAGGGTTTCCAAGGAGCAATTGGTGAGCTTGAACCGCCGACCTTGCAATTCAAACGACTCTGCAGTCTGGTGCATTAACCCACAGTGCCACACCAGGCCTCCTGAGTAAGGGCAGATGCTCTGAATTCTTACTGCCTGGATTCAAATCCTACCTAGGTTCCTTCCCAGTTGTTCAACCTTTCTAGGGCTGTTTAAGCAAACAGAGAAATCAAGCCAACTCAAAACACTGGTATTAGAATGAGATGATGTAACACCAAACATGTAACACCATGTGCGCTCAAAACCAACTCCTGTTCTAAGTACTTCTGTAACCATGAAACTACACGTTTTCTAGAGTGACATGCTTGGCCATCCCAAGTCAAACACAACCACACATCCTATGATCTCTCAACACATAAAAGCAGAGATCAGTTAGAAGCCCACCGCGATGGTCCGCACCAGTAATAAGAACTGACGGTTTCCAAAGGAAACTCTGACACGTCTATCCTAATTATCATCCCCTGCCCTCCACGCTCTCCTGTATCCTGGGAGACCCGCACTCACTCTCAGGTCCTCGACTCTTACACGGGTGCTAGCACGGTGACCCTGTCCTCCGAGGCTGGAAGCTGAGAGTGGATCGTCCACGACTCAACTCGCAAAGGAGTCAACGAAAGTACAGAAAAGAGATTTGCGGGTGGTCACGGCAGTGGCTCCGGCTTGAACTCAGATTTTCAATATCCCACCAATCGAGAATGACGTGAGCCTCAGTAGGACCCTTCCGAAAACGGTACTTCCGGTGAATACTCGGAAACCTTCCGGTGCGTACTGGGAAATCTTCCGGCTACCCCCGCTCCCATGTTGTCCGTCACTGATAACTCTTCCCAGCACCTGGTTGGCCGGGGCTAAGTTCTTGAGTTCCGGGGGTCGGATAGCGGAGAATGAAAAATTTCTCCTCCGGTCTCTGCTCCGAGACCAGAAAGGTTGCCCGAGAAGCGAGGCCATGGATCGTAGTCTGACTTCCCGCAAAACGTTCAGAAAGGAGCGCCCACTAAGGGTGCGGTGGAGGACCGGAACGCTTCATCTCTATGGCCCTTCGTGGCTAGACGTGCCCAATTTTTAGAAGGCGGGTCTAGAGTCGAACCGGAAGCGGAAGTAGAAGAAAGTTCTAGTGGTTGAGCTAGTGGCGGGAGCAGCCGGGAGGAGCCGTTACGGGTGAGTCGCTGGTTAGCGCGTGCTGTGGAATGGGGGCCGAGCTGGGAGCCAGAGTGGGCGCGGGACGGCAGGGAGGAGAGGGGCGCGAAAATGTGGTAGGGGGCTAGGGACGCGCCTTCAGAGAGAACTTTGCTCTGCGCGTGGAGGAGGCGGGGCGGGGCGGGGCGGCGCGCGGAGGGGCGGGGCGGCAGGATGGAGTGTGGCTGGAGCCTGGCGGGGACCCTGCTGGCGCGGGAGCCAGGCGGCTTGCGCCTCCCGCTCTGAGCAGCAGGTGGGAGGCGGGTGTCACGGAGACGCCATGCGTCTGCTTTTAAGATCGGGTAGCCGTCGCATCCTGGGTAGTGCCTTTGCCCAGCCAAGGTCACAGAGAGAGGGACAGTCGCAGGGCAGGCGTTGGCTGCAGACTTGGGGAATCTTCCCAATGCCTGACACTCAGCCACCTGTTAAGAGCAGGAGGACTTTGCTCTTCCCTAGAGGTAGCATAAGTTTGTACCTACAGGAAGTAAGTGAATCTCTTCTGAATACTGGTAGTCCCGAACTTACAGTGGCATTCCTTATGTGATAAGTAAGTGCGCATGTAAGTGGCACACATACCTTTTATTATTATTATTATTTCAGAAAATGGCAGTGTTTTGAGTTGTAAATCATATAATTAAACATCTGAGAGTGACTATCATCAGTAGCATTGTTGTTCATCAGCTATGCCTCCTGACGACCCTGTATTCTATGTAGTATATATTTCTAATGATAAGATGTAAACACAAGCATGGTGGTAACTGGAATACTTAAGTGGGAGACTACCTGTAGTGGAGAAAGGATTTTCCTTGCACCTTGGTTTTCATGTCCATGAATGAGGTGATCCAGTAAGCCACCTTAATGGTCATTGTAGGTTCCTTAGTATCATTATTGTTAAGTGACTTTGGTTCCAACTCCTAGCCTGTATAGGGTTTCTGATGAGAAGTTGGTGGGTTTGAACTGCCAACCTTGTGATTATCAGTCCGGTACATATCTTATAGTGCCACATCAGCACCCCGTTTGTGTTGTTAAGTGCCGTCTAGATAGTGCAAACTTATAGCTACCCTGAGATTTCCAGTCTGTAAATCATGGTTGGAGCAGAAAGCCTCTTCTTTTCCTGGAGGGTGGCTGGGAGGCTCAAACCGTTGACCTATGGTTCACAGTCCAGTGCTTATCATACAGAGCCACCTATTTTCCCCCACCCCTTCATTATGGTCAAGTGCCCTTGAGTTGGTTACAACTCATAGCGACCCTATATAAGGTTGTCAAGGAGCACCTCATGAGCTTGAACTGCTGACCTTGCTGTTCAAACCGACTTTGTGGTCCAGCGCATTAGCCCACAGCACCATACAAGGGATTGCTTAATAGGCCTCCTCAGAGTTCCAGTCTGAAGCTCTAACCTGTTTGTGTTGGGATTCCCAGATTAAACCCCATCAAGATGACAACCTCCGAAAAGCACCGAGACTTCGTGGCAGAGCCCATGGGGGAAAAGCCAGTGAGGAGCCTGGCCGGGATTGGTGATGTTCTGGGCAAGAAACTGGAGGAGAGGGGCTTCGACAAGGTGTGGGTTGATGGCATGTTGCCTGGAGATGGTGTAGGGGTGGCAGATTGGGGGTGAGGAAGGTGGGCATGTCTGTTGAAGGGAAGTGGAGATCAAGGTGTGATCTGAGAGACATCCAGAGCCTGGCTATCTGGGGGAGGTGAAGCAGGTGAGCACACTTGCTGTGCACACCTGATTCCAGGTGGCTTAGACCCACAATGCACTTTGTGACACGCCCTTTACTCTGCTGTTTTTGCAGGCGTATGTGGTCCTCGGGCAGTTTCTGGTGCTAAAGAAAGATGAAGACCTCTTCCGAGAATGGCTCAAGGACACGTGTGGCGCCAATGCTAATCAGTCCCGGAAGTGCTTTGTGTGCCTTCGAGAGTGGTGTGACGCCTTCTTGTGATGCTGCCTGGGGAGCCCCCATGTCCGCAGGCCTGGGTCTCCAGAGTGTGGTGGAGTGGGGACTCCTCTCCTGTCCTCTGCAAAGGACAAGTTTGCTGTTGTCATGCTCACCTCCAATGTGCTCCAGGGCCTTTTAGGAATTCGCTCCCCTCACAATTTCAGCCTTTGTGGAATTCTCACTTGCACGAGTCCCTGTCCTCATTTCCCCTGCCAGTTCCCTGACGACAGTTACCAGCGGTCCTGAGTGGATTCCCGGTCCCTTCCTCACTCTTACCTTCATCTCTGGTCTATTTTAAGGCCGTTTGGCTCCTTCTGGTAGAACAGTCACTGCCCTTGTAAAGTTTTTTAAATCAATAAAGTCAGTGGCCTTCATGTCTGGGCTTGGTGTGTTGAGAAGTAAGTGGCCAGGGAGTGGCCTTTTCCCCAGGGACCCAGAAGGTGTCCCTGAACACCTTATCAACACAGACCGAAACTTACCTTCCCACTCCCAGGGCAGCCACTCAAGCCAGGTGCCTCCGAATGTCTCAATCCCTGAGTAATGTGGGAGAGAGTGGGCTGATGCTTCCTGGGAGCCAGGCGCGCCAGGCTGTTCCACACTGGAGTCAACAGCTAGACCAGGCAGCACCTGGTGGCAACTTCAGTGGGAGTCGGATACCAGGAAGAGTGGACAGGATGTGGGTACAAGCTCACTTCCCTTGGTCCTGTGTTTTCCAGGGTGGATGGGTGGGTGGGCAGGAATTTAGCCATCTGTCTTGGGAAGGGGAGCATGATGTCATAGCTGAGAGAAAAGTCCCATAACAGTTCAGTTTAGTACATTTCATTTCTGACCTGGATCAAACATTACTAGGTCCAAAAATAAGATTCTTACAGTAGTGTTTGTTTTTACTGATGAGGAAATGAGATTCAAAGAGACTAACTTGTTCCTGGACTGGCTACTAAGAAGGCCTCTCTGAGCCTCAGATCCCCACTTTGAAAATGAAACAATTCTGAAAGTCAAAATGCTGGCAGTGTTAACACCCAGCCCCACTTAGCATTCTGCGCCATTAGGGAGTTACTTGCTTACGGTACGTACACAGCCTCCTCACAGGACCTGTATAGTCTGGTGAGAGGAGGGCGGATATTAAAAACAAAGTTGAGTTTTTCATCAGTAGATTTTTACTATCTGTCTAGGGATGAATTTTTGAAAAAAGATATTCAACGCCATTCATATTAGAAATGTGTTTATTAACCAGTACGCACAGTGACCTGTATCAGAGTAGAACTGTGCTCCGTGGAGTTGTCGATTTGCGACTTAGGAGATTCTGTGTCTTAGAGTGGAACTGCATCATGGGGTTTTCTTGGTTGTAACTTTCACTGAAGCACCAGGACTCCGCGTAATACTTGTCGTTGTGAAGTGCTGTCGAGTTGATCGCGACCCAAACCTTGTATAGGGTTTCTGAGGAGCAGCTGGTGAGCTTGAACCACCAACCTTGCAGTTCAAACGGCTTTGCAGTGTGATGCATTAGTCCACAGCACCACACCAGGACTCCACATAATACTTGTGAAGTGCTGTTGAGTTGATCCCGACCCATAGCAACCCAAACCTTGTATAGGGTTTCTGAGGAACAGCTGGTGAGCTTGAACCACCGACCTTGCAGTTCAAATGGCTTTACAGTCTGGCGCATTAACCCACAGCACCACATAGGGATCTTAAAATGCCCTGGTGTGGTGTTATGGGTTAATGCACTGGACTGTAAAGTCGGTTTGAACTGCAAAGTCAGCGGTTCAAGCTCTCCAGCCACTCCTCAGAAACCCTATATAGGGTGGCTATGGGTCACAACTGACTCAAGGGCACTTAACAACAGCAATGTAAAAGCACAACAATTGGTCTGTAGCATGAAGAACCAGGAGAATCAGAAATAGGATATAGAATGCGTGGCTGGTTGCCCTATGAACAACTGCCTCCTTTGCCAGGAGACCAGAAGAACTGGATTGGATGGTGCCTGGCCACCATTGCTAAACATTTGGATCACAGATTCTGTAGAAAGATTCCTTATCAAAGGGGAAAAACAGAACAAAATTCGGAATTCTCATGAAACTCAAGGTTTTTCTGGAGCCATGGAGGCTGCACAAACTCCTAAAACAATTGCCCTAAAATAATCTTTAAACCTTAAACAAAAACTGTCCCCAGAGCTTTTTAAAAACCAAACCATAGTTTAACTTCTAAAGAATGTCTGCCTTTAGTATCATGCTCTCTTAAGATCTAGCTATATGGGATCAAACTGACAACAGGAAGTCGAAAGATTGACTAGGAAGCTGAGGTGGCACTGGATTTATGTTAATGGAGGAGAGAGACAATGGTTGCCCAACTCATTGTAATCAGCGTTACTGGTCTATAAGTGTAGAAGATTGGTATGTGTTTTTGCTGTGTATAATTGCAACAACAAAAAGTTACTTTAAAAATACAAATTAAAAACAAAAGTTACCATAAAGAGAGTTAAGAGGCAATGGAGGACAACTGGTAACATCAGCAACTAAGGGCTGTGTCCAGTGCATGTGTCAGTCAGAAAACCTGAGAATACAATAGAAAAAGGGGTAAGAGACGTAGGAGACAGACCAAAGACAATACCCAAATAGCAAGTCAACATGGGAACAAGTGTTCAATTTCATTAGTAATCAGGGAAATGCAAATGAGATGTCATTACACAACCATTGAATTGGCAAAACTGAAGTCTGACAATAAGTGTTGAGATGAGCAGTAGGAAATGATAGCCACTTGGTGGGAGTATAAACTGGCATGAGCCCTGTAGAAAGTAGTGGGTGTTATTTTAGTAAAAACAAAATACCACACACCCTGTGACCCAGCAATTCCATTCCCAGGTATGTGCCCTGGAAACTCCAGAACACCTGCCCCAGGAGACCAGGGCAAACGGTCATAGCAACCTTGCTTATAGTAGTCCCTAATCAGAAACAGCTCTAATGGCAAAAAACGTACTAAAGGAAGTACATTCAGACCTTGGAGTACCTCATAGTATTGGAAACAACAAACAACTGATGAGTTTCACGGAAATTACTGAGCAAACAATACAAATCAGAAGATGGTGTGATTCCATTCCTGCAATTAAAAAGTAAAGTATTACCTTTGTGATGCACACAAAGGCTTTCAATTGTGTGGATCATAGCATGCTATGGACAACATTGTGGAGAATGAGTATTCCAGAACACTTCATTGTGCTCATGAGGAACCTGTACGTAGACCAAGAGGCAGTTGTTGAAAAACAGGGGAGCGCTGAATGGATTAAAATTAAAGGTGTGCACCAGGGTTGTATTCTTTCACCACACTTATTCAATCTATGCTGAACAAATAATCTGAAAAACTGGATTACATAAAGAAAAAGGTGGCATCAGGATTGGAGAAAGTCATTAATAACCGGTGACATGCAGATGATACGATCTTGCTTGCTGAAAGAGAAGACTTAAAATACTGATGAAGTATGGGTTGGATCCCAGTGTAAAGAAAACAAAAATCCTCACCAGTGAACCAATAAATAACATCCATATAAACGGAAAAAAGATTGAAGCTGTCGAAGACTTCATTTTTTTTTCATGTTTTATTGTGAATTATGTGATAGTTTACATGGGAGAACATTAGTTTTACATTCATCCTATCGTATATTGTTTCACTGCCATGGTTACAATCCCCTCCACGCATCACCAACCAACAAAAGGGTACATCCTACAAGCCTGCTTCCCCCCGCCCTGGTTGTCAGCACACGGCCCTCTCCCTCCCTGGGTCCAGAGTCTGCAGCTGCTCCATCTCTCCACGTTATTATCTCTGCAAAGGCTTCATTTTGCTCATATTAACCATCAACATTCATAATGCTGCAGTCAAGAAATCAAACAGCGTGGTGCATTAGGGAAATCAGCTGCATGAGACCTCTTTAAAGGGTTAAAGAGTGAAGATGTCAGTTTCAGGAGTAAGGTGTGCCTGACCTAAGCCACAGTATTTTCATTAACCTCAAATGCATGTGAAAGTTGGACAATGAATAAAGAATTGATGCATTTGAGTTAGGCTTTTGGAGGAGAATATTGAAAGCATCACAGACTGTCAAAAGAACAAACACACTCTAGACCCAGAGAGGAAGAGTGTGCTGGCGACCGAGGGGCAGGCTTGCAGGGTATACCCTTTGGTTGTTTGATGATGCATGGAGGGAGTTGTAATCATGGTAATGAAACATTATACGATAGGATGAATATAAAGCTAATGTTCTCCCATGTAAACTATCACATAATTCACAATAAAAACTTAAAAAAAAAAAACAAAAAAAAAAACACATCTGTGTTGGAAGACGTATAGCTAGAATGCTCCTTAGAAGTCAAGATGACCAGACTTCGTCTTTCATACTTCGGACATATTATCAGGAGGGACCAGTCCCTGGAGAAAGACATCATGCTGGTAAAGTGGAGGGTCAGCGAAAACGAGGAAGACCCCCAATGAGATGGAGTGGTACAGTGGCAACAGCAATGGGTGTGGGCGTAGCAACGATTGAGACATTGGTGTAGGACCAGGCAGTGTTTCTTTCTGTTGTGCATAGGGTCACTATGACACCAAACCGACTTGAAAGCACCTAAAAACAACATTAAAACAAGGAAAAACAGATTACCAAAGTCAGTGAATACCTTGGGAGGAGGGAAGAGGGTGAGAGAGATGGAAAGGTGTGTGGGTGAATGTGGCAGTTTCCATTTCTTGTGCTGTCTTGTAACTAGGCGTTGGCTTTATAATATTAAACTGACTGTATATGCCCTGTGTGCTTTTCTGTTTATTAGCTACGTCTCAGAATAAAAGAAGGATAATGGAAACCAAACAAAGAGCTGAGGACAGAGAAGTCATTCGGTGACTCAGAGACTATTCTCATGGACAGGAGTACTGGGCAAGGGAGAGGTCCTACCTGGAAGGAACATTAGGTGGTCACTGCACAGTCCACTTTGAGCCACAGTCCACCTCCTGACCCAGACAGAGTT